AAGGAAATGCTTGGTGCTCAAAGCTGTGTTAGTTAAGCAATTTGCTTGCTCAAAAATAATCAATAATTGTATGCCACTTCAAAAACAAACAAAACAAAACCCACATTTTAAAGGTAGAGCATGGTGCATAATTTTCTCTAACCACTGTGACCATAATGGCTTTGGCCTATGCCTAAAATTAGATCCATTCCCTATTTTTGCTTATTTGTTTACCAGTCTCACATCTCTCTAGCCACTGCAGTGGAGGTTATCATTGCTCACTCTAGGGGCACATTTTCTTATTGGCTCCATTAGAAGGGCTTTTTCTTTTTGTTGTTGTCTTCCCCCAACACAGAATTTTTTCCCAGATGGACTGCAAAACTCATAATATAATTGTTGCCCAGGAATACTGAAAGCCCAACATATCTGGAAAGAGTCAAGTTGTTGAAGGCTATCCTAAAGCATGGGATCTCATTTTACTATCTCTTCAATTAAACTTGTCACTCATCTGCCTCTTACTTTTCTTTCCACTATCACCAATATGTGTACTGCACTCCATCTTAAAATATTTTCTTTGTTAAATAAGGAATGGTGCATTTCATTTAGATCCACCACAACTGCACTGATCCATTGCGAGTGCAATGATAAGTGGACATCTACAAGAGTAAGTCAGTCAAATTAAGGTGGAAAATTCTTAATCAGAAATGTTCCGGGAGCCCTTGAACATATGCAGAACATTTTTGTCCACAACTGAATTATTGTATCCTTTCTTCCTCTCCACTCCCAATCGACAAGTGTGGTGTGTAACAACCAGTGGTAGAGCATAGGTTTCCATGCAGCATGCAGCCAAGGATCCCAAGTACAATATGTGGCATTCTGAGTTGAAATGATCATGGATCTAACAACCCTATTATTGTTTGCATCTTTCTAATTGTAATAATATAATTTAAGAGGATGTGCAAAAAAGGAGTGGGGAACCCAAGTGAGAAAGAAAGGGGGTGAGGAGAACTTTTCATTTGATTATCCAAGGGCATAGCACTGTGTGAGCAAAAATAAAATTATGAAATGATTCACTACAGCTCACTCCAAATGTTATTCTGGAGTGTGTATATTATGCAATATATGCACTAGAAACCACTCTAGAATATAATCAGTAAAGGCGGATAAGTAGAGGAGGAAAAGAGTCACAATGCTCACCAAAAGACTACAAATATTTTCCTTCCATACAGACTCTTGGGGGAACACAGGCTTTTCAGGTCTAAAAAGGCTGACATTCTGAAAAGCCCCTGTTTGAGTTTCCAAACAAATCACTTCCCTCAGAACATTCCCATTTGATTACAAGAGTACCTTTTAATGTAATGGGAATGTCTTGAGGGAAAGTGATTTGTCCGGAGACTCAGACAGGGCTTTTCACAATGTCAGGCTTTTTAGACCTGAAAAGCATGTGTTCCCCCAAGGGTCTGTATGGAAGGAAAGTGCCCCCCCTCTTTGATTGCTGCATCTTCTGAGCCTTCTTTTTTTCTTTCTTTCTTTCTTTCTTTCTTTCTTTCTTTCTTTCTTTCTTTCTTTCTTTCTTTCTTTCTTTCTTTCTTTCTTTCTTTCTTTCTTTCTTTCTCCTGTCCTCCAGATTAGCATCAAATCCTGATAACTCTTCTGAGGCAACAATCCTTCCTGTTACATGGCATCTGACAAAGGGATAGAAAGACACCAACCCTAGAAAACACTAATGAATCCCAATGACATAACCCATTAAGCATATTTTAGTGTCAGTGTTAATAGGAGAATCTAGTGAGCTAGGCAAAGTTGCTAGAAAAGTACAACAAATTAATGATGCAATAAATTAAATTAGCTAGCCCTTCCTTTGCAAACTCTGTTTCATACTTATTAAGACTGCTGAAAAATGCAATATATCTTCCCTTGAAAATACATACATTTATGATGCTTGCAATTGTGTTTCAGAGACAAAAAAGGGTACATAAAGTCATATTTACAATTTAATACAAATATTTTTTTTAAAATGCAAACTGAAAAATGGATATAATTTGAAGCCATACACAAATAAGGATTGATCACTGTGGAAATACACATTAGAAAAATACTCACAAAAATAGATACATACATATTGTGTGTGTGGGGGGGATGTGCACAAATTTGCACAGAGAACAAAAAGTACAAATTTCACATCTTCAGTCATGTCAATACCACTAAATGCTAATGAGAGTTCACTATAAGAATGATGAGTCCTGTTTCCTTATGCAAAGTTTCTGATTCAATGAATCTGGCCATATTTTGACAACACTGTCAATATAGCTGACAATAACAACAGATCACAACTATCTGTAATGATAGATAAAAGTGAAAGGTTCACATTCTTAGAACTGACTCTCTGCTATTGCAATGTGGGGTGAGTTAGGAACTGCAGTAACTTATAAAGCTTTTTAATACAATACTGGATTACTGATCTGTCCAGCCCACCATTAATAGGTAAGAGCATTTAACATGTTTTTCCTACTCCAGTCAAGTTGCCCTTGACAATGCAAGGCCCATTAACTGGGGGTTATATGTTCTATTATAATTATAGGAGATTGTATTTTAATTGTAAACTGCCTTGATAGCCTCAGCTAAAGGTGGGATATAAATAAAATTTTATTATTGTATTAAAATTATTATTATTATTATTATTACTATTGGCCTTGAGTCTGCAGCCTTCTTCATGCAGAGAAAGTGTTCTATCACTGAGATGTAGCCAATCTCTCAAATATGTGTATGTTGGATACTGTTTCATTCCTATTCTCAAGCTCAACTAGAGTATACCGATTGACTCAGTGGAAGTTACCTATGTATTGATTGACCATTCAATAATTGATTCAAGGGATCAGCTTTAGTTAGGACTAAAGTCACAGGATGCAGTAGATCAGGGAAGGATAAAGCCTACAGATAATCTTAAGGAGGTGTGGAGGGCATTTCTACAACCAATTTCTAACTAGATATAGACTGTCAGTCAGACCAGTGGTTCCTTCATCTCAGTGCTATTTACATGAAAGCCTTGGACTGCAACTCAGCCAGCAAGACCACCAGACTTCCCCAGCTGGGTGCCACCCAGATGTGTTTGATTATAACTCCCGTGATATGCACCCAATGTGGTTTGGAGAAGCCTGTTCTAAAGTGAATAATAGCTCTTCTGGGTTTCACACAGGGTCCCTCTTACCAGCTCCTCTGATGTATGCAATGTAATGATTGAGCCTGGGGCCTTTTGTGGGCAAAGCATGTTGTCAACCACTGAGTGATGGTCTTTTATCCTTTTCCTTATTTTCACAGCAAGCATCAAGTTGCACATTATCCTGATATTTCTCATCCTGGCACATAACAAAAGCAAGACATCTATCAACAAAATTGTTTCTTTTCTTTTTCCACCACCATCTGTCACAAAAATAAGTTAATATTGTCATTAGCACATTCAACCAGATTCTTTCAAAGAGTTCCAAAATGGATTTATCAACAGTCAATAAATTTACTCTCCCTTGTCTAATAATGCAAAACAGCTGTATGTTCCCACATGTGTACAACCAGAATCTATATATTTTCACAGAAATGTGTGTGTATGTTTGTTTGTGTATGCAGTTGGCATGGCCAATTCTAGCAACCACCTCAGTCAGTAGATGCTGGAAGGACAGGACTCTCCCCCTACCCTTCTTCTTTGGATAATACCCCTGTCTGTTCTGTATCACCCAGTGGTAGCCATGTTAGTATGGCAGTTAATCTACTCTGGGATTTAAGATGAACTTTCAGTGACTATACAAAGGGCTGGGCCCAAATCCCCAAACAGGTTCATCATCTCAAATATGTCTTTTATAGTTCAGAGTAAAAGCTTGAGGGGATTCACCATTCTACTGACATGGGAAGCATCATCTACCATGGATTGGAAGTAGAACCATGGCCTGCTAAGTACTTTCTGTTTTTAGGGAAGAGAATTTGTCACATCACAGGCTCGGAACTGGAAATTAATATGAGAGGTACCATTCTCCTCCCTTGTTGTTGTGTGTCTTCAAGTTGTTTCCAATTTATAGGAACCTTAAGGTGAACCTATCACAGGGTTTTCTGGGGCTGAGAGGGTCTGACTCACCCAAGGTCACTCAGTGTGGGGGGGAAGCAGACGGCAAAAAGCGCCGTTTTCAGGGCAAGGAAGAGGAGGGGCAGCTGCACGGTGGGCGCCCCAACCCCTTCCTGAAGACATAGTTGGAGTGCCGGACCCTCCGCACGTCCGGTGCTCCGAGGATGCCTCTCCGCCGCAGCGTCCACACACGCTGCGGTGGAAGAGTCACCGAAGGTGTGCCGGCTGCCTTTTGCGGCACACCTTTGGCAACTTGTGGAAGGAGCGCTATTTTAGCCCTCCTTCCAGGGGTAGTGAAGCTGCGCCCCGGGGCCAAGGTGTGCGGATACCTCGGCCCCGAGGCACAGCTTCCTGGGGTGGCCCCGTGCCGCCCGTCTGCTTCCCCTCTGGGTTTCCATGGCTGAGTGGGAAATTGCACTCTGATCTCCAGAGTTGTAATCCAACACTCAAACCATTACACCACACTGGCTCTTCTTCTTATATATTTATGTAAAGGCACACAGCCAGCTAGTGCTTGCCAACACTGAACTGAAACTCTCAGGGTACAGTGTTTGACAGCTTTGGCAGACACCAGAGCTTCCTGATATGCTAAGTCAAGAGGGCCAATTTGCCACAAGAAGAATATTGCTACTATGCAAGTAGCTACTTGCAGAGGGATGTAGTTTCCAGTAGTTTTCCTGCTTACAGCTATTTGATAAGAAGTTTTATGGTTGTGAAGAAAACAAATCAGAGTTTGAATTGCAATGTTGTACAGATGACGGAAATGCAATTGTTAAAATGTACAAACATTTGTTAAAATTTGACATGGAAGAAGGACAAGTAAAAGTGTTAAGTGTATCGTCCAGTCTGACTCTCCATCTTATAGAGGATGTGATCTACTGTCAAATACTGGTTAATCAGGAGGTATAGAGCCAAGGTGGTGTAGTGGTTTGAACATTGGACTATGATTCTGGAGAACAGGGTTCAAATCTCTGCTCGACCATGAAACCCATTGGGTAATCCTGGGCAAGTCACAATCTCTCAACCTCAGAGGATGGCAATGGCAATCCCCCTCTGAAGAAACTTGCCAGGAAAACTCTGTAATTGGCTCACCATAAATTGGAAATGGCTCAAAGGCACACGAGAGAAGCAATATGGAAGAATATATAGAGTTTTGTTGTGCAGGCTGTTGCCACCACCAGCTATTTCATTCCTGAAGACTGCATCAAAGGGAATGTAGCTTTCCATGTTAGCTGTAGAAAAAAACTACTTACTTTTTCTCCTCTTCACTCCTCATCCCTCTTTACTTCTGGGTTGCATCTTTTTGCACTGTAATCTTGCAGGCAGGGGCTGTTCTTTATTTATTGCAAGTGACACTTTTTGGTTGGACAGAATGATAAAACTTCTTTAAACAGCTACTTTACAGTGCTTCAAATAATGAATAAACATTTCCATACATTTAATTTTCTTTTCAATACTATCCGGGCTAGAAACTAATGTAGAATTGATAGTTGGTGTTCTTATGTATAGATATAAAATCTTGTTTGTCTATAGCAATAAGGCTTTTGAGTGGTAGTTTTAACAATGGTAGAAATCAAACATCTGTGTGAACCTCCCATCTGCAACAAAAATCCAAGATGTATGGCTATAATGGTGCATTGTTCTTGACGCAGCCAGCTGGTGGTATTGTTATGGTGGCAAAATGATCAAATATCAAGCTAGAAAGATCAAAGAGAATGGAATTTGTAAGAGAGAATAGGACAGGGATTGTCACAAATTATCCTTTTCTCCCAAAGTGGTAACTTGAAGCGGGAGGACAAATTGGTGATGTGGGGATGCATCATGGATTTGCTGTCCTGAAGCAGAAACAATGAAATGCAATAGCATCAATAGAAGTTTAGTGTCTAGATAAAGGGAAATAATAGTACTATTCTACTTTGTTCAGGCCTCACCTGGAATACTGTGTCCAGCTCTGGGCACTACAATTCAAAAAGGATGTTGACAAAATTCAGGGTGTCCAGAGGAGGACAACCAAAATGGTGAAGGACCTGGAAACCATGCCATATGAGGAAAGACTTAGGAAATTGTTCTGGCCTCCATGTAGTTCCCCATTCCTGGTTTAGTGGAATGCAGGTACACAGGAAGCTGCTATGTATAGTGGAAAATGATGAAACACTGTGCATATAAAAATATCACAGAAATTGTAAATCAAAATCCCATACAGCACATTGGGATGGATCTTTTCCAAAGCATTCCTGTTTTTTGCCCAAATACAATACCACCCCCATATCCATGGGGGATACATCCTCAGACTTACTGTGGAAATGCAAAACCATAAATAATAGCAAACTCTGTGGAAATAGCAATAGCGATAGCACTTTGCATTTCTCTATCTCTTCATAGTGAACTAAGCACTCTCTATGTGGTATACAATGCGTTAGTCAATTGTCCCCAACAATCTGGGTATTCATGTTACCCACCTACAAAAGGCTGAAAGGCTGAGTCAACCTGGAGCCCTGTGGGGATTGAACTCACAAAGCTGTGGCTGCACTACCAGCATTTACCACTGTACCAGCAATGATGTCTGGTCATATAGGATCTCAGATTTAGGGGGGACGCAGACCAGCACTTTAGGCTAACCTGGGTGTGGAGTTGATTCAGGGCAACCACACGCTGACCGCCCTTACTCCACCCCGACTTTGCCTTGACACTGTGCACCGGTCCGCACAGTGCACAGCATCAGGATGCCCTCTTGGCTCAGTGTGCACACACACTGCACCAAAGGGGTATAAAAGCGCCATGGCAGTGGCTCAGAGGGTGGCCCCAAAAGAAGCGGCATTTGCCTGCTCTTTTGGGGGCAGCAAAAAGGAGGATCCACTGCTCCCAGGGGTGGCCCAGAGCCTTATGGGCCATCTGCATTGGCCATTAGATATTTTAGTTATGCGCTAGTTAGTTATGTTGGTCATTGTGTGGGGCCATATGTGTTATGTGTCAAGACAACCAAGGATCAGCCATCTCCTCTGTTGTTTCCTGAACACACTTCCTCCTGGTCTCAACATTTCTCTTCCACTGGAGATAGGAGGAAAGAAAAAAAACACAGTTCCCTCACTTTTTGTTCTGGTTGCAGCAAGCTCAAAGAAGTTTTGATGCAGTGGTTGCTCTGCTGTGCTCTGGATTCCTTTCCACAAAGGATTGCTCTGCTAGTATAATAAGCTGTGTTGTGTATTACGTGTCAAGGCACAGAGGTTGGGAACGTGGATATTATGTACCATCCAGCTTCTGCTCCAAAACTGATTGCCTGAAAGTGGCTCACGATGCTACTGCTGAAGTAACACAGTAATATTTAATACTAGAAATGTTTCATTCCACTTCATAAGGTTCATAAAAGTTAAATATCTATGAATATAAATGCATGATTTCTGCCTGGGTGATAAATGTTTTAAGTTGGGCGCATAGTTAATGTACGCATAAGCATTAACCTTGGCAGGGACCAAGGCAATTCTTAACTGTGTGGGCACATGGCCTCAAATCATCATATTGCCCTCCTTGAGATGCGTACAAGGAAATTGCACTGACATCCATTTTGGAAGTCAGGGATGAGAAGCATCATTTGTGCATTGCAATAGGAAGAGAGGAACATAAGTTGTGATTAGTTCAAGGGAAAGGATATTAACTCACTGATGGCTAGGATTTCAGGTCTGGACTGTATCCTGCTGGTCACAAATTGAACCTTCCCCTTCGACTGTGTCAAAAATGTAAGATTTAATTAGAACTAAAAATGTGTAAGTGTGATGCTCTACCTATCAGTGTGTGCATCAGATAGTGCATCTTACAAACAGGAAATTTGACCCAGAGCTTGGCAGAGTTTGTTTTCTGTACTGCATTTCTTAGGTGAAGGATTCTGGGAGTTATCACCCCAAAAAGGTAATTTTCCAAGCTCTGGATTCTCACATGAATTTCTTTTATCTGTACCCCTCAGGATAATGTACAACCTAGAATGTAATTATCCATTAGCTTCCATAATACATTATCCAAAGTAGTTTTCAGTTTAAAAATTGTATCTATTTTAAAATGTACATTTTGGGAAGGGCATATATCTACAATGTTATATGTTGTGAGAAAATATGTTAAGAAAGATACATGCATTTTTCCTGATTTCTATGCGTGGTTGGATTGTGAAGAAACTGACATGTAGCAAAACAATTCACTTGGAATGTGGTGCTGAGGAACAGTTCTGTCTATACCATGGACTGCCCAAATGACCAATAAATGATTCCTAGAGCAAACCAGGCCCCAACTTTAATTAGAAGCCAAGATGTTGAAACTTTGGTTGTCATACTCTGGACAAGGGGATCTTGTAGCACTTTTGAGACTGTGAGCCTTTACAGACCTGACTAAAGGGGTAGCACAGAGCTGCCCCTGGGAGCAGCAGATTGGGGCTGCTTCAACCGCATACTGTGACCCAGTCCTCCCTTTTGCCTCCCTAAGAGCCAGTGCCATGGCTCTTCTGTGCCCTTTTGGTTCAGTGTGTGCACATGCTGTGCCAGGAGGGCATCCTGATGGCATGCGCCATGTGGATGGGTGCATGGCATCAGGACGATGTCAGGATTGAGTTGCGGCAGCTGGCGTGCAGCTGCCCCACCCCAACTCCACCTTCAGGCCAGCCCTTTAGGCTGGCCTGAAAAGCCCCTGTGTGAAATAAGCATTTGGTCTACTTCCTCAAATGCATGGATGTAGACCAAGTCTATGAAAGTTTATGCTACAAACATCTTTTTCTCAATTAGTCTCAAAGATGCTTTGCATACTGATATTCCAGACTAACACGGCTATGACTCTGAATTCTATATTGTAATGCTAGGAAAAGTGGAAGGCTTTTTATAGTGTGGATTGAATCAATCCACACTGTAGGTGGATTGATTCAACCATTGAAGCCATGGCTGCTCTCTTTTTGCAAGACTTGAGCAGGGCAGTTGATGACTCAGGATCTTGGAAGTCTCTCATCCATAAGACTGCCACAAATTGAAGTCAACTTGACAGCAAAGCACAACAGATTTAAATTTTTGTACAGATTGCCATCTTTAAAAAATATAGACTTTTGCAGAAATGGGATGGATGGATGAGTGAACTCATGAAAATAAAACAGACCCAAAGTAGATAGCTTCTGAAAATACACTATTATGAATGTTTAAATGTTTACCAAGGATTGTGTGGAATAATTCACACACACACACACACACAGAGCTTGAAATTCAGGGATACACTAGGGGTGTGTGGGGTATATGTAGGGTGTAGGGGGTGCAGGGGTGCGGACTGCACCAAGTGACACCCTAAGGGGGGGGGTGACACCACTGCTCCTCAAACACCTATCTTTTGGCAGAAATGGGCAGTGGCATTCATCTGCTTCCCTTTAAAATGCTTTAAGAGATTATGAGAGTGGGGTGAAGCTCAATGTGAAGAGAAGGGAGAGGCCTCAGAATTTTTTAAAATTAAAATTTCAAAATTCAAAATTTAAATTAAAAATATTTTTTTGAAATTTTTAATTTTTTCATTCTTTTAAAATTTTCTTTTAAAACATCACATTTTAACCAAATCATCACTATGTATATTTAAATACATTTAAGCTGTGTGCATGATATTGTAATTTGAAGGTATAATTTTAATTTTGCCAGTTGTTTATGTCACAACTGTTAGCATTACATGCAGTGGTATATGGGAATTATGATTTATGAGTAACATTAGGTTGTGAGTTCAATACCAGCCAGGGCTGAGGCTTGACTCAGGCCTGCAATTTTCCGAGGTCTGCTAAAATGAGTACCCAACTGTTGGGGGGCAATCAGCTCACAGTTGTAAACCGCTTAGACATCCCATAGCGTGATATGAAGCGGTATATAAATGAAGCTGCTTTGCATTAGTGCAAAAAGGCATTACTAAGTTTTCTGTATGGTGTGAAATGGGAGGAGGTGATTGGGGGGTGGGTGTGACACCATGATTACCGTACCGGGT